CGGCCTTAAGAGGCAAGCGTCACTGATGTTGCAGGTAACGGCCTTAAGAGGCAAGCGTCACTGATGTTGCAGGTGACGGCCTTAGGAGGCAAGCGTCACGTTGCAGGTGACGGCCTTAAGAGGCAAGCGTCACTGATGTTGCAGGTAACGGCCTTAAGAGGCAAGCGTCACTGATGTTGCAGGTGACGGCCTTAAGAGGCAAGCGTCACTGATGTTGCAGGTAACGGCCTTAAGAGGCAAGCGTCACTGATTGGTAGGTAGGCTGGGTGAGTGACGAAAAGGCGGTAGGAATCTGACTCCCTCAACACCAAGTTGCAGCCCCTCTGCGGAAGGACTTGTACCAATGACTGACATCAGGTGGGGCTTCCCACCTGATGTACCAATGGCTGGCATCATGTACCAATGACTGACATCAGGTGGGGCTTCCCACCTGATGTACCAATGGCTGGCATCATGTACCAATGACTGACATCAGGTGGGGCTTCCCACCTGATGTACCAACGACTGACATCAAGACCAATGACTGACATCATGTACCAATGGCTGGCATCAGGTGGGGTTTCCAATGGCCGGCATCAGATGGGGCTTCCCACCTGATGTAAGGCTTTGACGCGCATGCGTCATCGCCCGATGCAATAGCCCAAATGGCTGGAATAGCTAGGATATCCCAATGGCTGCGGTAGCCTGGAATATGGCTGTGGTAGTTGGACTGAGATATCCCCATGGCTGTGGTAGCCCAAATGTCTGAAATAACTGAGACGTCCCATGGCTGCGATAGCCCAATTAGTTGGAATAGTTGAGATATCCCCATGGCTGCGATAGCTGAGATATCCCTGTGGCTGCGATAGCCCAAATGGCTGGAATAGCTGAAACATCCCCATGGCTGCGATAGCCCAAATGGCTGGAATAGCTGAAACATCCCCATGGCTGCGGTAGCGTAAACAGCTGAAATAACTGAGACATCTCCATGGCTGCGATAGCCCAAATAGCTGAAATAACTGAGACATCTCCATGGCTGCGGTAGCCCCGATAGCTGGAGTGACCGAGACATCCCCAGGGCTGCGATAGCCCAAATGGCTGGAATAGCTAAGACATCTTTATGGCTGCGGTAGCCCAAATAGCTGGGATAGCTGAAATATCCCCATGGCTGCGGTAGCCTAAACAGCTGAAATAACTGAGACATCTCCATGGCTGCGATAGCTGAGATATCCCTGTGGCTGCGATAGCCTAAATGGTTGGAATAGCTGAAACATCTCCACGGCTGCGGTAGCCCCGATAGCTGGAGTGACTGGGATATCCCCAAGGCTGCGGTAGCCCAAGTAGCTGAAATAACTGAGACATCTCCATAGCTGCGGTAGCCCAAATAGTTGGAATAGTTGAGACCTCTCCATGGCTGCGGTAGCCCAAATAGCTGGAATAGTTACGACCTCTCCATGGCTGCGGTAGCCCGATTAGCTGAAATAGCTGGGACATCTCCAGGGCTGCGGTAGCCCAAATAGCTGGGATAGCTGAGACATCTCCAAAGCTGCGATAGCCCAAATAGGTGGAATAGTTGAGAGTTCTCCATGGCTGCGATAGCTGAGATACCCTTATGATTGCGATAGCCTAAACAGCTGAAATGACTGAGGCATCTCCATGGCTGCGGTAGCCCAAATAGCTGGGATAACTGGGACATCCCCATGTCTGCGGTAGCCCGATTAGCTGAAATAGCTGGGACATCTCCATGGTTGCGATAGCCCGAATAGCTGAAATGGCTGGGACATCTCCAAGGCTGCGGTAGCCCGAATAGCCGAAATAACTGGGACATCTCCATGGTTGCGGTAGCCCGAATAGCTGAAATGGCTGGGGCATCTCCAAGGCTGCGGTAGCCCGAATAGCTGAAATGGCTGGGACTTCTCCATGGTTGCGGTAGCCCGAATAGCTGAAATAACTGGGACATCTCCATGGTTGCGGTAGCCCGAATAGCTGAAATGGCTGGGACATCTCCAAGGCTGCGGTAGCCCAAATAGCTGGAATAGCTGAGACATCTCCACGGCTGCAGTAGCCCAAATAGCTGAATTATCCGCATGGCTGCAATAGCCCAAATAGCTAAATTGACTGAAATATCCACATGGCTGCAATAGCTCAAATAGCTGAAATAGCTGAAATAGCTGAAATAGCTGAAATAGCCACATGGCTGCAATAGCTCAAATAGCTGAAATAGCTGAAATAACCGCATGGCTGCAATAGCCCAAATAGCTAAAATGACTGAAATATCCACATGGCTGCAATAGCTCAAATAGCTGAAATAGCCACATGGCTGCCATAGCTCAAATAGCTGAAATAGCTGAAATATCCACATGGCTGCAATAGCTCAAATAGCTGAAATAGCTGAAATAGCCACATGGCTGCAACAGCTCAATAGCTCAAATAGCTGAAATAGCTGCAATGATTGAAAACATCCACATGGCTGCAATAGCCCAAATAGCTGAAATAGCCACATGGCTGCAATAGCTTAAAC